CTCCCTCTCCCCCGGCCGGCCGGGGCTCTGGCGCTGCCCCCGGGGCACCGCTCCTGCTGCCGTCCCGTCAGCGGGCAAGCGCCGGCGCGGCCCGCCCGGTACCGCCCGTCTGCCTGCCCAGCGCGGCCCCCTGCGGCCTCCGCCCGCGGGCTGAGCGGGGAGAGCACCTCGGGGGTGCCGGGGCGGGGAGCGAGGGCAGTGCCCGGGGGAAAGCAGGCTTTCGGGGGTGCCGCGGGTGGATTCTGCCCGTTGCCAGGCTGGGTCCCCCCCCGCCCCAGCCCCGTGCCTTCTGTTTTGCTTGTGCTCTCCCTGCCCGGCCTGTGGCACAGAGGGCTGTTGGTGGCGAGGCTGTACAGAGAGCTTATTCCACAGCGCAGGTTTGCCTCACCAGCCTTTTAACCTGTATGCACCTCTGGGAAGAGGCTGGATGGTGTAACACCGAGGTCCCCTCAATAGTAACCCCCTGTAACCACTCACCTGCCCAGGTCTAGCTGGGGTGTGGGAGAGAGGCCTTTGCACTGCTCTGGCGGTGACCCTACCAACCTGCGGAGGAGCAGCCCACCCGTGAGAGTGTAAAAGGGACTGCCAAACCTCACCTCATTTTTCTGCCTTTCTGGCCAAGCAAAGGGAAAATGAGGGGGAGCTAAAAGCAGGGCTACAACAGGTTGATCTTCTAATGCTGATGGGTAGTAAGAGTACCTAGTGTCTACTGCCATTACGGTATGGTATGAGCATGCTAAGTCAAGAAGTGAAGGGATTCCTTGGTAATGTTGGGAAGCAAAAATTGGAATGAAGCTAGATGTTTGGTGGATTTTATTAATTCCGTCCCCCCGATAGGGGCATTTTGACACCTAGATTTCAGTAGAACAATATAGTCCATTTCTAAATATCTCATCTCGACCCATCACATGTCTTATCTATGTGTAGGTGCTTCCATGACTGGCACACACGTTCCTAAAGCTGGTACTGACTCGGATTTTGGCTTTGGATGTAATTTAAATGCATTTGTGTTGAACTAACTGCTGAAATTTAGGAATCTGTTACAGGAACAAACATTCAAGTTTTTAGTTAAAGATTCCTGACTTTGTGATTAGGGAAAAGCCAAATGAATATGGGTTGGTGGATGGTTATTCTTCAGCCTCCAAGGGATGGCTTGAAGTTTGCTGTCTTAGGTTCAGTATGTTATAAGTCTAACAATGGCAATTACTGATATCTTCACTGAAACTTGAGCTTCTAGATGCTTGAGCATCAGTCTTGACGTAGGCTGCCTTTGTGCACATGAAATTCAAATGTAGGGATGGATGCAGCTGCAGGGCACTTTCTCTGAATGATTGGTAGGCCTAGAGTTCATTAGACACACCTAACTGTTTTAACTCCATGACCTCTGAGGTACAGAGAAAGGATTCAGATTGAGGGAATCTTTTATCTCCTGTCTTTACTCTTGAAAATGACCCTTTGTTAAATGTGTTCAGTCAAAAAGCGCATCATTTCTTAATTTTGCTGGAATTTATACTGGATTTTATACCTTCTCAGCAGCTTCCCCAGATAAGAATTCAACTTAAGCCTAAATAATTAAGGACAGAGTGAGAGCTGGTGTGCTTTTTATTCTGGATTTCAAGTCTTTGAATGAAGTCTTTGGGTTATGTGTGTAGCTAAACGCTTCTTTTGAAGTGGGATGGGAATCTTTTAATACTGTCTCAATGTGTTTCTTAGTGTTTCTTGTTAAGAAGTTTACCTTAATGTTTCCTCTACATCTCCCTGTGCAATATGTTACTCCTGGATATATTTCCTGTGGGCCAGCAAAGTGGGCCTGTGGGCATGAATGCTCCAGGTTCCAGACCTTTACCTGTGCCACTTCTGAGCTTTAGGTTTCCTTAGATATTTTTTTCAAAATAAGAAATTAAATATACTTTAATTGAAGAGAAAGGATGGATTAAGTATAGTTCTAAGGTGCAGGTGGCTATAGAATAACTATGATTGAGAGAAATTAATAGGTGTGTTCTTGCTCCTCTGTGCTGTCCTGTTTGCAATCACTATTCCAAATCTCTCTTCCTCCAGCACTTAGACTACTTGCTTTTCCTACATTTCTTCTTGTAAATTTTCAAAAATGTTCATGTTCAAATTCAAAGATTGCCTTCTCTTGGTTAATTGCTCTTCAGTTAATGTTCACCAGCTTTTGGCTAGCATTTTGCTGAACTTATGTTGTTCAGTAGTCTTATTGGGAGCCCTGTAAGAGAAAGGAAAGTTTTTATCATCCTCAAAGATCTAACTGATAGTGGTAACCCTTGATGATAGCCCAATGCCTTTCTGTGTAATTGTGAGCTTTTGTCATTAAAGATAAGAGATCCACGAATGTTCTGTGCAGGCTCAATTTTGTTTTCAGTCACTTGTGTGATGTAGCAAGTTGTGTATTAGAAATAATAGAAATTGAGATTTTTATTTTTTTAGAAGCTGTTCATGCCTAATCTTTAGCTTGGAAGTTTTAAAATATTAAAATAACTCTCTGGTATTACTGCTATTTTCTTTGACTGGCAGAATAAACTTTGTGTCATGAGTAATATTTCACTAATAACATACTTCAGGATACTAACCTAGAACTAGACTCAATTATTTCTTGAAGTGTTTAACAGGAAATAAGTACTCATTGTTAGACCATGGCTATCTTGTGTTTAGCTGTACCAGAGAAACAAACACCTTGGTGATGTGTTTTGGAAACTGCCGCAATACGGAAAGTGGTAGTTTTTGTAGTAAGGCTTACTTAATTTGGGCTACTTGTTTTCTGGGTAAGATTATACTATGGTTGTTCCAGTTCAGAACACTTTAAAGTGCAGTCAGAAGCTTATAAACAAGAACTGCTCGGGGAAGAGTCTGAGTAATAAGGTTTCTGTAAAACATAAGGCTGTAACTGATGGTTTTGACCTTGTGAAGTGCCATGTGTGAGGTTGTTAACTTGCGTCAGAAGCACAGCCCCACAGGTCAAGCCTTGCTCCGCACCAGTAGTGAGGTGATTGTGAAAGCATTGGTTGGAGCCACTCACTGAAGCTCTTGCTGGTGGGTAGAATGGGAAAGGACATGAGTTGACATGGTTATGGCCTCATTATCTGAGCCTGGTTTTAACCAGACTCCTCAAGTTTTATAACAGTTTTGCAGTGTTACATACTTGGCAGCTGATGTCATGTAACAAATGCAAACTCTTCTTTTTTTTTTTTTTTCTTTTACAGAATCGGGCCATTTTCAGGTTTGATCCAGCAGATGAAGATACAAGAAAGGTAAGTAAAATAGGCTATTGAGCTTCATACCTGTGCTGGTTCAAAGTACAATAAAGGAAAAGCAGTCCTTTAAATTATCCACTATTGTGAAATGGCGCAATTAGTGGTTATGAAGTTCTGTTTTCAATTTTATATCTTTTGTGTAAGAGACATGACAACTACCCGTTCCCCTTTTTTCTGAATAAGATAAGCAAATGTGCCTAACAAAAAGCTCTGTCTTGAATTAAAGTAGTAACAGAAAAACCTATAAATAATTTGGGGTGGGGGAATAAAGTAAAGATACTCTTTCTTTCTGTATTGGAGATAAACATTTTGCAATAAGTTTTTGCATTTTTTTTCTCCTCTCAGCAGGTTGCAATTTCTTGTCTGTTAGATACTTAATGGATATTAGAGATTAAGGTGGAGGGATAAGTACAGAAGAAAGCTATGGAGCTGTAAGGGAGACAAAGCTACAGAGGCCCATTAATCCAAAGACAGCTGTAATCAGCAGAATGTGTATTGTGCATGTTGGGTTCCAAAGATGGGAAATGTTTGTGTGTTATAGCATGGAGCTGTGGAGGTATGTCAGGGCTTAACAGGTCCCTTGAGATCCATCCACAGCCTCGCATTTAGAGCTTGGTCTGTCCTTGATTTATTTTTTTTTTCCTGTTATTTTTATGGCATATGTAGTGACAAGACCCTTCCTTTCTTTTCTCTAATTAGTTTTTGGGCTGATTTGCATATTTATTCAGAAAATGTTCATTACTGAATGAAGCTGCATGTTTCGTCTATTTCTGAAATAAACACAAAGCTTGAAATCAGAATTGCAACGTTCCTGCAAGGATAACTTGTCTCATATTGGACACACATCACTTCATTCCATGATTTTGTGCAAAATCTAAATATTTTCAGGTCTAAAGTATCTTTCTGGTAGAAATGGGTGAGATAAGTCTCTCTTTGCATTTGCAAACCCATCAGTTATGTGTACAGTAATCTTGAGTGACAATTGTTTATTACGCAGATGACTCGAAGACCTCTTCTCTTGCCTTTACTCTTGTGTATGAGTATGCAGTTCAGCACAAAAGTAATGGTGAAAGTTACATAAAATTTATGGTATATATTGCTATTGGCTTCTGTAAATCAAAATAAAATCAAACCAGGAATGTGGCCTAGAAGCCTTCCCCAACCTTCCTCTAGAATAGATTTCTCTCACAGTCCTGGGAGCTCTCCGAAAACATTTTTCTGCAGAGCAGCTGTTACAGACTTCATGAGATTTCCTCCCCCCTCCCCCATATATGTAGCTTTTTTGATTAAGATTCAGATATGTGTTAAATGCAGAGTTATAATGGGATTTTTATGGGAAATACTTTTAATTTATTGTAGGATATGGAAATTTGAATTGGTGTTTAAAGCTGTAGTTGAGCAGTAGCCACTATGACAAACTTATGTTTGATAATTTTGTAAGCTGAATGTTTTAAGAGTACACACAGTTGAATAATGTTTTGTTCAGTGCTTTAAGCCTGTTGCTGTAGTTGGTTGTGGCTTCTGTCTTGCTAAGAAGTATTCTGAAAATCCTTGATAGAATTATTACTTAATTGTTCAAGTTCTTGACGCGTTTTCTGGGCAAATTGTTCTTTCTGTGACATTAACTTAAAGCTGAACAAAGCTCATCAAGGAGCACTGAGGACAGTAAGTAGACTTAATTCTATTCTTAAAAAAAAGTCAATGTTTTTTTAAATTGCATTTTCATAGCATTACTTCCTTACTGGAAAAGGCTTTAATCATATGCAATAACAGTTGCTTTTATAAAGGCAGTTCTTGTGTGCACATACTTGATAATCAAAAGCTGTGGAGTTTTTTTTGTTCCTGCATCTGCCTTCATGTATCTCTGGAAAGTAGATAAGAAAAATACACATCTGAACAGATGCCACTGAAGAATTCTATAGTTCTGAAACTTCAAACGACTTACATAAAATTATAAAGTATTTGGCTTTATCTATGGCTTTACTTGAAGCTGACATTCAGTACTGTGGTCACAGGACTATGTGTCCTTTTTAATCTATCTATTTGCTTAATAACCTTAGTGTCTGTAAAACATCCAGCATTCTCCTTTTATCACTCAGTTAAGGTAAAAATAAAAATGCTTTGAAAGGTAAAATGGTACCATGCTCTTGCTAAGAGCAAACTAAGAGTAAGAACTAAAAGCCTAAACTAAGAGCCTAAGAGTAAATTCTCTTTTAGTTATTTCCTTCAGCAAGTCTCACAGACTTTGTTGTCAGTCACTCATGTCTATGTAAGAGCACAAGTAAAGTATCCACAGTAGCAATGCAAGCTTTTTCTCTGCCTCACCACACAGCCTCAGCTGCAACCTTAGAATTACAGCAAAGTTGTGTCTCTAGTGTAATTGTGTTGTAATGTAGGCATAACTGAGCTTTGTGCTTTTCTAGGTTGGATACTGCTAGGGAGAGGGCAACCTGTATACAACAGTGATACGCTGTAAAATATGAAAGACAGTAAGGACAAAACTATGGCTTGACTGTAGAATCTGGATAAATCAGAGAGCAAAAGTTGTTCTGTCGTAATATGGCTATCAAATCATGATGCTTTAGGCTGGAAGCTAACTAAATCAGCAGTGAGTTTGTAACACTGAACTCCAGGAGGAAAGTTGGTTGTGTCCTCTAGAAGGCAGGACTATCAAGCTTGTCTATTGGACATAGCCACAGGACTTTAATACATCACAGCATGATAAAACCTACAGGATTGTAGTGAGAGCTGTTACTTCTCCTGGTTGTTTTGTTTAATGATATATGTGTCTGCATTGGCCTGTATGATGGGTGCTATGGATATAAACCAGTTGGCAACCTGTCTTGTACTGTAAGTTCTACTCGGATACCGGGCAGATCAAGTTGGTGCCAATCCTTCTTAACTTGTCATACACTAATAGAAAAATATGAATTTCTGAAAGCTTGTTTTCGGTTTGTGTGTGTGTAAACAGTATAGAAATTGCCAATGAGAGGTAAGTGCATTCTGAAATAGCAGCTGAAATTAAGGCAGTGTGGTTGCTTCAGAGGAGCTTAACCATCTCTTAGAAATCTGAAATATTTGTCTCAGCCAGCCAAGAAGTACTTGACAGTGTTTTGGTGGGAAGGGTTGAGTCTTTGTAACTTCAGCACTTCACAGCAGCATAGCATGGTTGACACAAACAGTTGGTTCTTTAGGTCCATGCTGGAATCAACTCCAGAAAATGAGTATCTGGTAACTTGACTGGGCAGTTAGACCTTGGAGAGAAATGTCAAGTGTAGTGTCTCCCTCTCAATGGGGCACAGCACACACTTCAGCTCAAGCCTCACGTGTCCTAATACAAAAAGGAAAGTGTGTTTTTTTAGAACCATTTTCTCATCATTTAATAGCTTTGTTTTCCGTTATTTATACCTTGACAGGCCCAAATCCCCCTTCTGAAGTAGCAACACATTTATGCTGTTTACAGACTTAAAATGGCAAGAAAATCACAGCACTCTTTGTGGCCTGGAAATGCCTGTCAGTACTGATTCCCTAGTTATCCATGGCATTACACAACTGGGAGGAGCTACAGCGCCGTTGGCCCAGGTGATAGAACAGAGAAAGTAAGTCTGTCCAAGATAGCAAGCAAGACTGACTTTTAAAATTGGCTGAAGATGCTGAGTTTAGGGGAGGAAGGGGGAAAAAAAAAAAAGGGAGCAGTAGCCAGATAGAAGAATATTACTTAGAAGCCATATGGTTACCTGAAGTGGTAGGGTCTTCATGATTAACATATCTCCTCTTCAATGCCTTATGTTTTGTCTGCTTCTCCTCTCGTAGTACTTAGAAGATCTGTTTCCACTCTGCTGTCTCTGGTTTACTGTGTTGGGTCAGTCCTGTAATATAAATCTTTTAAAGTTTGAGATCAGTTTTCTTGATACATTGTCCAGGTTCGATTTGAACATAAGGGATGTAAAATTCAAGGCCTCCTTTAGTAGGAAGGCAATCACCAAAATGGTCTTTTCCCTCACATTGCTGAATATTTAAAGGTGTTGAAATAAATGATCGTAAATCATATCAAATGTATTGTGGGACTTTCTTTCCTAATTAAATTAATGCTGTGGAGAGTTTCCTTAAGGCTGTGGACTGTACCATAATTGAACTTTGGCAGGATGGAAGCAGTGAACTATGTTGATGGAGCAAGATGCTGTTATACTCTAAATCTCAGAAGAACCTCGTTACTAGATAGTGCTGTTGACACTGTGACACTTCTGGGAGGTCTGAAGGTTCTTGCAGCCACAAAGGCACAGAGCTTTTCTCTTCCCAGTAACTTCATTGCAAGCTTTTAAAGTATGTTAGTGAGCATCCAATAAAAATATGAAGCTCAAACGCTCCTGAGGGCGCACTGTGTGGTATCTTAGTATTAATGTTGTTATTGTTCTAACTTTACTGAAACCCCTTAAGGGAGTACCAGTCTGTAAGAGAAGAAAAGTTACTAAGTATGCTTCATTAATACTAAGCATGTGTTCTAATTCCCTCTGGTCCTACCCACTCCCATCCAGCATTTTTCAGTTTTTAAATCTCTTAAGGTTTATGTCAAGCTAGTGAAACCCATCTCTCCTATTAAAACCCTTCTTTCACCGCTGGGTTACAGGGGTTATAAAGGGTTCTCCCTCTCCCTATTCAGTGGGGAGGGCACAGAGAGCTGCCGAGAATGCAGCTATGCAGGATTTCACCTTTCTGTGGCTCTGAACCAGGTGTTTATTCCACCAATTCTGACAACACAGCTTACTGTGCATGCTCCTCACCTTACCTGCAGAGTGCTGTCTGGCCGAGGGTCTCACATGTTCAAGCCTGCCATTTGGACCCCTGCCATGTTCAGAGCTGGCCGGCTCCTGCCAAAAGTTTTTGAAGTGGATCAAATCCTGAAAGAGTGCAAGCGTACACCTTCCTTCCCACCCACATCTGTCCACAAAGACTAGGCAAAAATTTGGCACAGCCTTTTCAGAGGAGGTTATCTAATT